AATTCCGCGCATCATCCGCACAAACATCGCAAACCCGATCACCGAGCGCACACCACTCGAAAATGCAGCATTTCAACATGCTCGGGACGGAACAATTGGGAGGATATGAGCATGCAGGACCGCCAGCTAACAATGCATCTACCAGGTCATCGTCGATGGCAAGGGCCATCTCCTTGGCCGCCTCGCCAGCATCGTGGCCAAGCAGCTCCTCAATGGCCAGAAGGTCGTTGTCGTCCGCTGCGAGGCCCTCAACATCTCTGGCGAGTTCTTCCGCGCGAAGCGTACGTTTTACCCTCCCACCGAACCGAACATGGAAATTGAGGGCATCCGGAGCCCAAGACCGATTGACGAGAGGGGCTTCGAGATGGCCGGCAGACCGATCTCGAAAACAAGCTGGAAACTGACATTTCGGATACAGTCAAGTACCACTCTTACCTCCGCAAGATGACCCGGTACAACCCGACCCGCGGTGGTGAGTTCGACGCCCACAATCGACGATGATACAGGCCAGCCGATGCTGACTGGACACAGGTCCCTTCCACTTCCGCGCCCCGTCCCGCATCTTCTACAAGGCTGTCCGCGGCATGATTCCCCACAAGACCGCCCGTGGCGCCGCTGCCCTTGAGAGGCTTAAGGTCTTCGAGGGTGTCCCTCCCCCGTACGACAAGAAGAAGAAGATGGTTGTTCCCCAGGCTCTCCGTGTCCTTAGACTGCAGCCCGGTCGCAAGTACTGCACAGTCGGTCGTCTGAGCCACGAGGTTGGCTGGAAGTACCAGGATGTTGTTGCGAGGTGCGTTACCACGAGACGGCGTTTTCTCCGGTGGAATGCTAACCCTGAGACAGATTGGAGGAGAGACGCAAGGCCAAGGGCGCTGCCTACTACGAGCGCAAGAAGCTGGCTGCGAGACAGCTGTCCGAGGCGAAGAAGTCCGCAAAGGTCGACACCAAGACGGCGCAGGCTCTCGAGTCCTTCGGCTACTAGAGATAGTGGTCACCCGCACACTTTTCTGTCCTTTTGCGTTTTCACTCAAGATTGGCGCGGTGGTTCGGGCATCAACTTCATTTGCGTGGAAGGTGGGATAGGCAACGGTTGTCTGACACACTGCGTCCCGGGCTCGGGACCTCATAAAATAAATGAGATCACAACCAATGGAGATGAGCTTGCATAGGCGAGATAAAAAATACCCAAAATCTGGCGGCAGGCTCTGCGATGATAATGTGTTTTTGTCAGCATCCGCATGCCCACCAGTCAACACGAACGACATCCAATCTACACACCCGATGGTTCTCCGAGTGTGTGAACGAGTGAGATGAGGAAGGAGTTTTGGTGTTTGTAGTCCCATCTATCGTCTTTCTAAGCAGCTGTCTCCGTCTCTGCGCATCTGGTGAATCCTGACTGCTTGCACGTCATCGGGTGAACATGCGTCACCCGTTCCCACTGGTGTGTCCCTGTCGGTTCGCTGCCGTGGGGCCCTGTCATCTGGGGTCCAGGTCTTGTCCCTGTTTGTGCACCTGTTTATCCGCGTTCCAACAAACCGGCATGAAATGACGAGCCACCACTACCATTCCAGGCATGGTAACTTTTTACACAAAGCCAGTGTGATGTGTCGATCTCATGGTCAAGCAGGTCAGAACGTCTTCTCACAGTCGGTACCAGCTTAATAATTCTATGAACGTAAAGACAAGTTGAACTCTATCCTCGCAATTTATAGACCAGACATGTGCCTCTTGTACCATCTCGATACGCTCAAAACAAAATGCTGGATACGATTTCAAACCATCATACCTGGTCTCATTTACATCCAGCCCAGTCTGGGCAAGTGCTAGTCTCAGGTGAAGCACCTTGGCAAAGCAGGATGCGTGGGGAAATCAACAGATATCGCTATTGGATAGTATCATAATGTGCTCGCACTGCCAAGTGAATATGTATGCCTTGCAATCAGCAGTAAAAGGCACTTTGGTCTCACAGAGCCTCGAGATATATCATCCGGTTACATCAGCAAGACCGTGAACTGAGGTTTGTGGCCATGTGGTTTGAGAAGAACCGCCTACTTCGAGATAAGCCTGCGGCAAAACAGGTCATTTGTTGTCAACGGCCAGTCATATCTACCACTAGCGATATCAGGACATCTAACAGGAACATAGAATCATTTTTCATTATCAATCTACGTGTTAAACCGCAAGGCATTAAGATGTATCAAAACGAGACCTTGCACCCACCGGGCAACCCTAGAGGGTGTTTCGGAAAATCTAAAAGGCCTGTGTTTGTTTATTTGATCTTATTACTTGGATAATTAGAGACATATTCTCCTTTATAGCTGGCACTTTCACCCTCGGTTTAATTCTGTTTCGCTAGATAAGTAATAACTTGGGTATTCGCGCATCTTACCGGTTTATTCGCCCCATTATATACGATTTAAACCTTCTTATTGACCTATTCTACTTCTTAACCAGCCTACGCATTCTTTTTATAGGTAGGCTTACTGTGACGGTCAGTGCGATTGAGTCTTGATTGAATTGATTGCGACCGTCAACGGTATATAACCCATTAGAATTCCAAAGGCTGACACCTTTGGTATTATGGCATCCTTTTGCGATTGAGGGGGGTTTGGTGTAATGGTTTGAGTCATTGCACTGGCTCGTCACAGACAACATCTATTACGATCAGACGCCATCCATGGCTACGCCTATCCGTCCAGAACACTTAGGTCACGCCCTTCCTCCATAACACGGCATTCTTCCCGTCTCAACCTCGTCAAGTTTACATCCTTTCGGGTTCTCATAGCTACGCATAGCGAGTTTACCGTCTGTCTCTCGGGCTGGCTTTTATTTATTAGTTATTATGCGACTCATAACTTGTTGTCTCCACATCTAAAAGCTTTAGATGCTTGCGAAGCAAGACATGTTCAGGTTATAAACACGTAAATCAGTCACCAAGAAAATTGTTTGTTAGCATTAATTAAGTAGTGAAAAAAGAAAGGAAGTAGAAAAAAAGGGACGGCGGCGGCGGCGGCCGGCGCGCTGGTATAAACAGTTCCTGCCATCTCTGGGCCGGACTCAGGGCAACACGTCTTCCCGGTTTGTCCGTTTAAAACTCATCCCACCTTCCGAGATTCCCAACGTACCTGCTCTGACAGCCTGGGCCGGGTCGGGCCCGGAATCAACATTGTATTCTTTAAGCCGAGAGTTCCCGTGTTAAGAGGGAAGGAGAAACGGGCATGCTTCCCCAACTGCGAGAGTTACGGTATTATTTAACCGCCTCCGTTGGGCTCCCGAATCCCGATTACACAAGGGCGGGGCGGGACCAGACCGGCAACGCACCGGGGCTGGCCGGGGCCCAGATACATGCTTAAAATGTCAACTGTTGGTTAGAGCCCGAGCCATTTACCTGCTCAGGGGCATCCAAAGCCACAAAAAGGGCAGCTATGAGACGTGTCGCCAACACCAGGGCGAATGTACGAGCAAGAAGCAGACCATGGGGAATAGGGGTTTGTCTTTGCAGCAGGCTGGCCAAAACAACTACCTTGCTTCATTTGAGTTCACTTGTTATCATAAGGGTGAGGGAAGGGAGAAATTAATTATTTGGAAATGCATTATGCGCCTTCACAGTGGTTCTAGTGCCCGTCCGCGTTTATCGGCGATCACTTCGCAGGATGGGCGACCGCTATAACTTGACCCTAAATATCTACAGACCACAACACTTCACGGATGATCTGCAAAATGTCGCACATGTGGATGACGATTTATACGGATAACTCACTACCGATGGATTTACCCCATATGTCATGGTATTAGTCGGTCCCAACATTTATTATGGCAATATGGCAGGGCAGGCGAAGCCGGTCCTGCTAACACGTTTGCCTCCGAACCATACTGCATGGGATGATAAAAGTGCAGCCACTAAACCAAATTAAAAACCCCTTCAAATTGAAGATATGATTTGTCCAAGGGACGCGTAGTAGGCTTCATCTGCGTTCTAACAACTGACTGAGTCTTAATTACCATGACCCATACCCCAAAATATTATGCGCATAATAATGTAGGCCGGTGCGCTAGCCAACTGCGCCAAGGTCCCTGGATTGTTCAAAGGACGAGTAGGAAGCAAGAAGTAAGAGGTGTGGGTGGCTGGAAATTTTGGTGTGATTTTGGCACAGCACCGGGCTCCTTTTGGCTCCCAAACCCTCTCCTTTTCGCGGCTTGAAGGCATTTACATGTATTGTTGCATCCCAAACTCAATTCTACAGCCGGACTTCAAAAAGACATAATTCACATCATTGCAATAATTCATTATGTCCCGCAATATGACACGAAGTACGTCTCAACAAACTTTCAGAATATTTCTTGTAACGAAGACCGATATGTATCTCTAGAGGATTTGGGTTGCTGCTAAGTTATTGAAGGGAAGCTTCAATAGGCAATCTTGGACATGCCTCACGATCATTCGCCTGATCACTGGGTATCAAGTCTTTCAGTTTCCGGATTATGACCCTACAAATTGGTACATTAGTGAACGACGGTGCCATTATGCTAGTCTCTGGAGAATGACGTTAAATTAGGTTTTTGGTGGCTGATATCGCATGGATGTTGTCTGGGGAGATCCCCACACAATATCAATGCGACTCAACGTTTGGACTCCCCCGTACCATTGCGTACCACCACAAAAGACCGAGGTGTGCAAGTGTTCCTGGGTAGATTCTGGTCTTCTGGAGTAAAGAGAACATATTACTTGGTGGAGGGAATACCTGGGTATTGTGCTGGTCCGGAGCATATCCAAACATAAGCCCCTTTTCATCTAGCAAATGGGATTTCACAGTTCCCAAGCTCTCCAGGCTCAACAAACGTTGCAGGGACGTTAGTCAGCATGGTTGCATCCGTCTTGGTTAGCCTGAGCCAAGGTCAAAGGTCCCCTGCCATACCAAATCCCTGGAAATCCCTCAAATCGCTTCCAGCCCACCCACACCTCTTATTTTTCGTTTCCTGCCCGTCCTTTCAACAATACAGGGACCTTGGCGCAGTTGGCTAGCGCGCAAGTCTCATAAATCAACGTATTTGTGATCTGGTGATACATCAGAGCTATCTTGAGGTCGTGAGTTCGAGCCTCACAGGTCCCAACGCCCATATTTTTGAAGGTTTGACAGGCACACCACACATTTTTTGGCATCAGCGGACATCGGAGAACATTTCTGCACGTTATTTGAGCTTTGTTGGTTCGGTGGTTGATGAGTAGTAAAATTACCCCTGATTTCCTTCCCTGGTGTTTGCTCACCACACTTAACCGGTACCTTATCCATCCTTGAGATGTTTTTATTACATTCTTAGCACTGGACGCCTCCAGCAATGCTTTCCCAGCTGTTACCGAGCGTTGAATCATCTTCGTGGGCTGCTTGGCAAAGATTTCCCTCCTCGCAGTTCGGGGGAAAGGAGCAAAATGGTCATTGTTGACAGTGGTGCTGTGCACCACAAACAACATTTACCACCTCTGTGATAGTAGCAGACTATAGATCAGAACATCTATCATACACCCCTAGAATTGCACGGATTTCCCATTTTTAAAAGTCAATCCGATATGTCTTCATTCTACCCCCTTGAGCTGGCTGATTACGCAGGGACCACACGCCCCCTTACTTTCTGCCCACAGCAGGGCCACAGCACACAACAACGTTAACAGATGGGCCGGTCAGCATTAATGACATCACAAGATATGCTCAAGAAATCGATCACTGTGATCAATGCGAGCCGCCGTAGCGAATTGAGTAGGTATGGATGTCTGAGGCTCATCACTAGAAAGCTTATGAATCGCACTAATTCCTCGCCGCTAGATAGTAGTCAGTCGTCGTCAGTGGCAGGCTGAGTCCATACGGTACTTATATGTGTGCCGTCGGGTGCTGGCTGCGCCTTGATGAACGCCGCCCCGGCCTTCCCATCTTCACAAGCCTCATCGACCCCAACCAAGATAATCCGTAGAAGACGTCAGTTCCTCATTATATCTACTGTCTTTCAAATTAGATTCAATTTCTGCCCTCATACTTCCAATAGACATAGCAAACATGTCTTCCGGGAGAAACACCATCCCCGCGCTCGGCGGCTTCAACCCAGACTACTACGCCGAAACGGCAAGCATCGTGCCTGGATCACCGGCTTCGCGGCCGTCTCGTCCTTCTCGCCCACCACAACCCCAATATCCCTCCGCACCAGCACAACAACAACAACTTCCACCTCGACCACACTCAGGTCAAGGAACTTATCAGCAGCAAACATATGCGCCACCACAATCATCTGGTTACGGACCAAGTCTCGCCCCACCTCCCCAGTACTACACCCAACCGCCGCCGGGAGGAAGCCAGTCTCATGATGTACCGCCGCCGAAACCGCCGCGTCCAGTGTCGTGGTCGGGGCCGGGCTCACCCAGCAATGGTAGCAGCAGCAGCAACACGCCGTCGTCCTCCAAACCGACCTTGAGCGAGCGCCTCCATCAATGGGGGATGAAGGCCGGTGAGCCCATCAACAAAATCACCAACAAGCTCGGTTCAGAGGCATTTTGGCCGTCGAAGATGGACCTAGAATGCGACAAGGCAGCTCGTATTCTTCAATCATTCTGCAGTGCGTACCCATCTCAGTGACTCCCCTTCTACCTACTCAACTAACACCCGTCCTCCTCAAACAGAAGATGGCTTCTACGCCCCAGACAGCACTCCCAACCGACCAACAAAATCTCCAACCTCCCCAATCCCCCGCCCGTCCTCCGGCCCGAAATCCAAACCCACCGTCCTCGTCAAGATCCCGCAAAAAGTAATCCAGTCCGCTGCGGGTCTCGCAATCTTCACCACCTTCCGAACAGGCTTGCACATTTCGGGGGCAGGCGGTTCCGGCATCGTCGTTTCTCGGTTACCCAACGGAACCTGGTCGCCGCCCTCCGGCTTCCTCGTCCACACCTTGGGGGCCGGATTCATGGTCGGCCTCGACATCTACGACTGCGTGTGCGTCCTGCGCACGTCCGAAGCCGTCCGCGCGTTTACGCGTTCCGGCCGTCTGTCGCTGGGAGGCGAGATCGGGCTCGTCGCCGGCCCCGTAGGCGCCGGCACGTCCGTCGAGACGGCCATCGGAGGCAAAAACGACAAGCCGGTGTGGAGCTACATGAAGAGTCGCGGCTTGTACGCCGGTGTCCAGGCCGACGGGACCGTCATCATTGCGCGGCCCGACGCGAATGCTGCGTTTTATGGCGTGAAGAAAATCACGCCCGAACAGATTCTCAACGGGCAGGTGCCGGCGCGCAGGCCTTCGGCGGGGATGTGGCCTGAGGGAGCGAGGAAGTTGATGGAGGTGCTCAAGGCTGCCGAGGGGCGGCGCGATGTGGACGAGGGCGTGATGCGGGATGTGGGTAGGGGGTGGCCGACGCCGGGAGATCTTGGGGTGAGGGATGATGAGAGGGAGGTTGAGCTGGCGCCCCCGGGGTATGAGAAGCGGAGGCAGCGGGACCGTCGGTCCTGAGCTGAGCCTTGCTGTGGTGGAAAGGTGGTGGTGGTGAAATCATGGCTGATAATGAATTTATGACCAGAAATAAGGGGAGGGAAGTCTCACGATTAATGTCTGCACATATAGGTATAGTATATCCTTGGATAATGGCGTGGAACCAATATTATCTTCCACGATAGAACGTTTACATCAGGTACCTGATCTGTGCAAGACCCCTAGATCAACCTCAGAGGGCGGGTCGCGAGAACCCCATGTGTGTCAACGTCTGATATATGTTAACGATTGATTGCTTGTGCATTAAACTGAATTGCAAGTTACTTTATAAAGGCATTGTTGAACATTTCGCTAGCCTTACCACTCCATTAGGAGCAGATGTAAGTGATTTACGTAGCCTGAAAGGTGAAAATTTATTGTGAAATATCACCCGGCATTATGATCAGGCACATCTAGCAATTTCACGACGTCTCAAGCTATAAAACCAGTCATAGTTCGCTAATTATATGCTCGCTGTAAACGAGATATAGAATAATCTGCATGCCCACTTCCAAGGACACACCGCTGGCTGCTGAGGCTGGTAATATCTACCTGGTTCCGCTGCATCTCCGCCCCATCTCTTACATATGGTCATACATCCTTACAAGTACAAGCCCTCAGGCTCACCCTCTTGCTTCGTGCGCAACACCCTCTCCCGCGCGGACCGGAAGTCGGCCATCTGCACACGCATTCTCCGTTCCCGGAGAGCCATCAAACCCGCCTCAGAGCAGATTGCCTTGATATCAGCACCCGACAGATCGTCCTTCTGGGCAATAAACTCCTCCAGGTCGACATCCTCGTTCAGCGACATCTTACTGGTGTGCAGAGTAAAAATCTTGCGCTTGGTGTTCTGGTCCGGATTCTCAAAGAGAATCTTACGGTCAATACGACCGGGTCGAATCAGAGCGGGATCGAGCGTCTCGATCTTGTTGGTCGCCATGATCACCTTGACGTCTCCACGGTCATCGAAACCGTCCAGCTGATTCAGCAACTCCAACATTGTCCGCTGCACTTCACGCTCGCCACCTGATGTTGAATCGTACCGTTTCGTGCCGATGGCGTCAATCTCGTCGATGAAGACGATGGACGGGGCGTTCTCTGCGGCGACCTGCGACTTGTTAGCTTACTTTTGATAACAATGCGGATCTAAGCTTACCTGGAACAGCTGGCGGACCAAGCGGGGACCATCACCAAGATACTTCTGGATCAGCTCACTGCCGACTATACGTAGGAAGGTCGCAGAAGTCTGGTTGGCCACTGCCTTGGCAAGCAGCGTCTTTCCAGTACCCGGCGCACCGTAGAGAATGACGCCCTTTGGCGGCTTGATACCCATCTCCTCGTAGAGCTCAGGATGCAAAAGAGGCAACTCGACCGACTCCCGAACTTCTTGAATCTGCTGTTCGAGACCTCCAATATCCGCGTATGACTCCGTGGGCGCCTTATCCAGTTTCATGACGCTCACCAGAGGATCTGTATCATCAGTGAGGACGCCAACAATGCTGACGCTCTTGTGATGCAGCAGAACGCTAGCGCCGGGCTCCAGAAGATCCTTATCGACAAAACTCATGATGCTGACATAGTACTCCGGCCCGGTTGTGCTAGAAACGATGGCGTGGTCGTCGTCAATCATCTCTTCGAGGGTGCCGACGCCCATGGGGCTCCCACGCATGTCATCGACGCGTCCGCGCTCGTCCGCGTTTCGATCCGAGTTGGCATCGAGTTCAGAGGTTGGGGCATTGCTGTCCTTAGCAGCCTTTGCCTTTCGCAGACGCTCTTGATTCTCGACGTATTCCTCCTCGAGCAGCAGATGATCGTGGATGCGCTGCATTCGCAGGAGCCGGAGCTTGCATCGACTGGTCGGGTAGACAGAGGGAAGCTTCGCAGCAGCGCTAGTGCCGCCAGCCTTCTTCTTCTTGCGACCGATGCGAGTCGTTGGTCTCGGGGGCGGCTCGTACTTGGGCTTATCCTTCTGTTGACGGGAGAGATAGTTAGCAATCACCTCATGTCACCACCGCCGGATTACCGTCGATTGGGAATGACTCACCTTCTTGTCCTTTTCATCCCGGCCATCCTGGCCTCCGCCCATGCCAGATTGGTTTTGTCCCTGTGCAGATTGTCAGAATGCGTCCAGCTGTCTCCAGTTGCTATTCTAGCGCCATCAAAGCTTACCATGTTGACCGCGGAGTCGGGAGATCGGGTTCCCGTCGACTTTGTCAATATCGATTCGATTCGGTGGTGAATTTATCAATATGTTACTGTTACTATCGTGGTTGTGTTGATGAGGGATGATGGCAATGGAGTCGTTGCTGCGGTTCCCTAAAGGCCAGTGCAAGGAGCTGAGAGAGCTTCGTTGTTGGCAACCTGAAGGCGCTGTGGATTTGGTAATCAGGCGCCAGAGAACGCGACGACCTGCACAGACCACCAGACCCTTGTCTCTTGGGCTTGCTTTGAACGGGTCCGGAGTGGATCTCGGGTGTCGGCGGCTGCTCACTCAGCTAACCAATGAAATCCGCCCTGCCTGCCAGCTCAGGAGGGGAGAAGCCTTAATAAGGCTTGCGCACAGGCCTGAGGGGCAGTCGCAAAGGTTGCGCAATTGTCCTGCCGG